CGGTATCTGGGAACCGTGTCTTAGCGATTAGTCCACTGCGGGACAACGCGCGCAGGTAGTCGGGCTACCGAAGCGGGGGTGCCATCTCCTCCGCAGCGGATCAAAATTGTGATGGCATGTCTTCGGATCATCCTCCGGGATGTTTCCCAGACCGTCGCCAATAGCCCATTGCGCAGCTCTAGTGCGACGTAAATTAACAACAACAACCAAATTAGCATTAGCGAAATTTTCATGTGCAGTGAGAGCCGTTCCTCAGAAATTCAGATAAGGCTTATTCTTGCTGCAAGCGGTTAAAGCACTTCCGATTGCCGTTTAGAAGATTGGAAATGAGTTTTTCGCGGAAAATATGTTGCACCAATCAGAAGCTCATTCTTTTCCGACGGTGATCGGAAATGGGCAAAACGCATGCAGTAAGAAAGCTCCATAACTGAGGGTAAAAAATGGAACAGTTTCAGTTCATTTCATTTTGGAGCAAAATGTTCCGACTCAAAAAAGTTTAATCGGTTTTCATCCATAGAGAAGAGTGGAGTTATTCTTTTCTTTTGTTAAAAATAAATGATTTTGAGTAGAATTCAAATTCAAATATTTTAATGCGAAATATTTTGAACCACAGCACTGATAATGAATGGTATTTTTTATCACAAATTTAAACAAAAACAAATCTCGAGCTCCTTACCAACACAACTTCCTGAAGAAAAAAATTTACAGCTGCTTACTACAGCTTTTTGGGTGAGGCTACATTTTCAAGCAGGTAATTTTGTTTTTGTGGTGAAGCGCCAACGATATAAAACTTCCTAACTCACCCTAGACTAATGTGCACACCCTTTTCTGTTATAGTTAGAGCATCTGACTGCGACTCCAGAAGTCCTTATATCCATCAAACATCTTTATCATTTACTCACCTTCACATTGGTGGCTCGAAAGAGCAACGCAACTATTTCATGTTAATACTACACTGCATCACCTTGTTCAACTATTTTTCTTGATATATTCGACAATCAAATCGTCTGTGTCTACAACATCAAGGCTCGAACTACACTTAATGCTAACTTCACTTATGGCAACTCGCCTTCCCTGTCTCGTGATACGGTCACGATTGACAAAGAATTAGACTTTTCGCTTTCTGGAAAGATAGTATGCCGCGGCTCTACCATTATGTATGGAACTTCCTAACTCACTCTGGACTGGGGTGTATATCCTTTTCTATGTTGGTTGGAGTATCCGAGTATGATTCTAGTGGTTCTTGATTCGAATCCTGCCTGTATCCAAAAAGCATTTCTCTCTTACATTCTCCTCCAGATTTTCAATAAAAGAAATAAATAATGTGATTTCTGTGCTCAAACCTGCTGTATTTTATACGATATTAACGTAGAAGTTTTTGCTTATACTTTTTTTGATAATCATGTGGTAATTCACTAGGGAGCAGAGCGTTTTTATTTTCATGTTTTTTTTAATGCTTTATTTTCATGTTTTTGTTGCTAAGTTTTTATTTTCCTGTAATTAACAGTTAACTTCATGCATTAGCTTTTAGGAAATCAAAATAGTCGCTATCTGAAAATTTTTTTCGTAATAATTTTATCAGAAGTGTGGTTGAAAGTTATGAAAAGTTTGCTTAAGTATGCAAAAAAAATTAATTTCACTTTTTGTATTCTTAATCATAATTTTAAGAGGATTGAAAAATTTTTGCACACAATTGTAAAATTTGTTTGTCCAAAGATAGCGTACTCGTTGAAAACAACGGATTTTCATTATTTTACATTTTTTTTAATTAATGAGGGTTGGAACTATTTTTAATTTAGAGGTATACAAAAATTTTGACTACATTTTATACTGTGTAATTTTCGTCCCGCAGTGGACTGATCGATAAGACACGGCTCCCAGCAGATCACCGAAGTCAAGCATCACTGGCTACGGTCAGTGTGATTTATTTTAAGTTCTAAAATNTCCTCGTTAAACTGTGCTACCGTAAAGTGCTCGACTTCGCGCGCAGGTCGTCGGGCTACCGAAGCGGGGGTGCCATCACCTCCGCAGAGGATCAAAATTGTGATGGCATGTCTTCGGATCATCCTCCGGGATGTTTCCTAGAACGTCGCCAATAGCCCATTGTGCTGCTCTAGTGCGACGTAAATTAACAACAACTGTGTAATTTTCAATGAAAACATACAAAATTTCAGCGAAATCGGCTGCATAGTTTTCGTAGAGAGAAGGTTCTAAAGTACAACTGTTTTGAATGCAGAAAATCCCGTGTAAATTCTCTCTTTTTTTTAAATTTAAAATTATATAGTTTAAAATGGTATAAAAGTTTGCGTACTTTGCAATTCCAAATTTTTTGGACACTTGTGAAATAAAATTTTAAAGATAAAACATAATTATTAAAATTTAGTTTTACTCGAAGTTATTTTCGGATAAGCAAATTTTATAATTGTGTGCAAAAACGTTTCGATTCTCTTAAGAAATTCCCAAGATATGATGAAATATGCAAAGAATAAATTTGACATTAATGAGCGACAGCCCTCTTGACTGTAGTATTGAGTCTATATTTTCTAGATCACGACTTCCCCCTTTTTTTCTAATAGCCAAAAATCTAAATCCATCGAAAAATGTATGTTTATTCAGAGAAAGTGCGTTTTTGTGTCTGATTCCAAATAATGTTTGATGGTTAGCACTAATTAATTACCATATATGATGTCACCCTTCAAGATTGGTGCTTCATTAGTGAAAATCCGATTATTGGAAGAAAATCTATTTAGGTTGATATCTCTTTTATTTTGCGCTGGGAACAGTGTTTACACAATGGTTAAGCAGCTAGTTACGGACCCAAATAGTGCATTATGGGAAACTATATGGGAAAATATGTTTCCGTTCGACAAAATGGGATCGTTAAAAGTCTTGTAAAATAATAGTCTGGTCATTAATTTTGACATCTTTATCAATTATTTATCTATTTCATTTTATTCTCTTTTTTTCCTTTGGTTTTTTGTATTATTTCTAGAAATAAGAGCAAACTTATTCCACCCAATTATTAAACTTTTTTGTCCAAAAATAATTGCATACGAAAGGAGATAATCTTTAAAGTATTATATTATAGTATAATTTCATAATTATCGAAATTATTTAAAAATTTGAGAAACGAATACTCTTAAAAAATATTATATTTATTTAAATGACGGAAATAGTATTTTGACTAATTTCAGTGCAGTCTAGTAATTGAAATTCTTTTTTTAAAAATTTGAACCAACAAATGTTTTTTTAGAGTTAAAAATTTTAAGACATTTGAAATTCTTTTTGGAAAATATCAACCAACATATGTTTTTTATAAAGTTAAACATTTTAAACATTCCATAGCACAGCACTCAGAATTTGGAATATTTTTTTATCACCATTTAAAGGTTTCATCACTGTCGTTACAAATTGAAAAATTTATCACTGCAAATGTCGCCATCAGTAAATTGTAAGGCCTCTTGTATTTTGTTATCAGCCTGACATTT